CTGGTTGTCCATGTCATTCGTTCATCTGGGCTTTTCGGCTCCAAGGTACATGACACCTTGGATACGGAGAGGAAACGAACTACGAAGTGTATCACAGTACAGTTAAGGTGAATGACAGCCACCTGTCAGATGGTTAAAGCTCAACTGAAAACCTTCCTAAACCTTATATTGAGTTACAAACACACCAGCAAAGTAAGAAAGAGCAGCCGAACGATAAGAAAATACATTTACCAAAGAAAAAGAACCCATGTTTTCTCAAATAATTTTAGGAATTAACTACTTACAATATAAAACGCAAAGCAAATAAAAAAAAAAAAAAAAAAAAAACAGTAAATAAAGTTTTAGCATATTGATATTTGCTTCCTTTTTGAAGGTTTGTTCCCACTGAGTACAAACTAGGTATAAAAAATAAAAAATAAAAAAAACTTTGGGCTGCTTTAAATCCTCCACCCCAAATCTAGTCTCTGATTGGTTTGCATAAATTTCAAAAGTTCAACTTCCTTCGACTTTCGCTGAATGACCTTTACAGGTGCAGCTGCACTCTCATTTCACCTCGCTAGAACCGCATCATTTGTGTCAAAGAGACCCCAAGCCACCCTCTACATCGGGAAAACAAGTACATCGTTCCCCCGAGTTACAAAAACCAGCTTCAGTGTGAACGGCATAATTCTTTGGCAGACATTAAAGCAAATTAAAGCATTTTGGTTGCATTTCATTCTGTCAGAACTTGGACCTTTAAATCCAACCTGGCTAACTTTTAGTTCAACGTTGGAAAATAGGATTTGCTAATTAGAGTATTCAATGTCTAGATCATTTGCTGTTACAGACACAAACTAAGGTGACATCTATACAAAATCCAACAAACTGCCCAAAACTTCAGTGTAAAGATGAAAGCAAACGAAATGGATCGACTTTAGGAACAGGTTTCAAAAGGAGTCCACTTTGATAACAGACCAAAAAGCTTGAGCATAAACCCAAACTAGGCTTGTTTTGACTGGCCTAAAAGAACCACACGGTTCCACATTGAAACAGTTCCCTGTTTAAATTTGGTTAAACAAAAGCTGGCTAACAAAACACTTTCAGGCACCACGGACACCTCTGTATGAACTGGGAAGGAATCAGAGTGGGGAGGGACACATAAATCCCCCAGTCAGAGTTTCGTCTATGATTCACCAAGCAAGATGATCTACTGGTATGGAAGGACAGGTTGGCTTATCTGTAGATCTATGGTTCTAGTTCACCTGTGGTCCAGTGCTCCAACTATAGTTTATCAATTAATAAAAGGAGTAAAGAGGCAGATTTTCTTTATGCGTTTAAAACAAGAATATACAGGTGCTGGTCATAAAATTAGAATATCATGAAAAAGTAGATTGATTTCAGTAATTCCATTTAAAAAGTGAAACTTGTATATTATATTCATACATTACATACAAACTCATATATTTCAGATGTTTATTTTGTTTAATTTTGATGATTACAAATGACAACAAATGAAAATCTCAAATTCATCATATCAGAAAATTAGAATATTGTGAAAAGGTTCAAAATTGATGGCCCCTGGTGCCACACTCTAATCAGCTAATTAACTCAAACCACCTGCAAAAGCCTTTAAATGGTCTTTCAGTCTAGTTCTATAGGCTACACAATCATGGGGAAGACTGCTGACTTGACAGTTGTCCAAAAGACGACCATCGACACCTTGCACAAGGAGGGCAAGACACAAAAGGTCATCGCTAAAGAGGCTGGCTGTTCACAGAGCTCAGTGTCCAAGCACATTAATAGAGAGGCGAAGGGAAGGAAAAGATGTGGTCGAAAAAAGTGTACAAGCAAGAGAGATAACCGCACCCTGGAGAGGATTGTGAAACAAAACCCATTCAAAAATGTGGGGGAGATTCACAAAGAGTGGACTGCAGCTGGAGTGAGTGCTTCAAGAACCACCACACACAGACGTATGAAAGACATGGGTTTCTGCTGTCGCATTCCTTGTGTCAAGCCACTCTTGAACCACAGACAGCGTCAGAAGCGTCTTGCCTGGGCTAAAGAGAAACAGGACTGGACTGCTGGTGAGTGGTCCAAAGTCATGTTCTCTGATGAAAGTAAATTTTGCATTTCCTTTGGAAATCAAGGTCCCAGAGTCTGGAGGAAAAGAAGAGAGGCACTTCATCCACGTTGCTTGAAGTCCAGTGTAAAGTTTCCACAGTCAGTGATGGTTTGGGGTGCCATGTCATCTGCTGGTGTTGGTCCATTGTGTTTTCTGAGGTCCAGGGTCAACGCAGCCACATACCAGGAAGTTTTAGAGCACTTCATGCTTCCTGCAGCTGACCAACTTTTTGGAGATGCAGATTTCATTTTCCAACAGGACTTGGCACCTGCACACAGTGCCAAAGCTACCAGTACCTGGTTGAAGGACCATGGTATCCCTGTTCTTAATTGGCCAGCAAACTCTCCTGACCTTAACCCCATAGAAAATCTATGGGGTATTGTGAAGAAGAAGATGCAATACACCAGACCCAACAATTCAGAAGAGCTAAAAGCCACTATTAGAGCAACCTGGGCTATCATAACACCTGAGCAGTGCCACAGACTGATCGACTCCATGCCACGCCGCATTGCTGCAGTAATACAGGCCAAAGGAGGCCCAACTAAATACTGAGTGCTGTACATGCTCATACTTTTCATGTTCATACTTTTCAGTTGGCCAACATTTCTATAAATCCTTTGTTTTTATTGGTCTTCAGTAATATTCTAATTTTCTGATATGATGAATTTGAGATTTTCATTTGTTGTCATTTGTAATCATCAAAATTAAACAAAATAAACATCTGAAATATATGACTTTGTATGTAATGTATGAATATAATATACAAGTTTCACTTTTTAAATGGAATTACTGAAATAGATCTACTTTTTCATGATATTCTAATTTTATGACCAGCACCTGTATATTGAAGAAGCTAAAGATACGTTAACAAATACGGGTAAATCTATTCAGCACATGAAAGGTTTAGAAAAACATACTAACACATGAGTCTTAAAAACAAGTGAGTCCTGTTTGTTTTTTTTCTGACCAGAGTTTTTTGAAAAAAGTCCTGACTTTGTGTTTGTTAATTTTTTAAACGACTCATTGCTCAGATATAAAACTTTTTCCACAATGTTTGTGTTGGTTTTCAGTTAAAACTTGCTGGAAAATCCATGAAGCGGCTGGTATTTCTATTTCTTGTGGGAAACGCCCCAAAGAGCGAGACTTTGGTCCTGCTTCTGGAAGAATGCTAACATTAGCTTACCTGACTACCTCTCCTGTTTTTATTCCTACAATCACACACTCACCTGCAGGCGGTCAGTAAGCATTGCTGCTTGGGTATCTTTTGTATGAAAGCCTGAGGAACGATAAACGAACCATGACTAACTGTTAATGTTGCTTATGCTAAATCCACATAAATTTGCATACACAAAAAAATCTTCAGGCATCCATCATGAAAAAAAAAGGAATTTAAAAAGGAATAAAAACAAATCAGTTTATGCCTCATTGAATCATCTTTTTTAAATGAAAAACAAACAAACTGATGAATTTGAAGCTGAGTTTAGTTTTCCATCCACAGACGCAGTGACAACATTTGAAACCTGCCCTCAAAACAGAAATATGATCCTCCGTATTTGTGAACGATGTTGCACTTATAACATCATTTAGCCATTAATGAAAACATTATCTGACTAAATTAATGTTAGCTGCAGAACTTATATTCACACAGCAATTTTTTTATGTCAAACTATTTAGAGCATCAGTTTGGTGGATAATTAATCCACCCGAATGCCCAGATATGTTTTTATTAATTTTGATGCATTGATTATAACTTGACCATCTTGTGATTTATTATCTTAATCTTAGTTTTAAGTTCATTTTGTGTCCCTTTTTTTTTTTTTTGCCTAGGACTTTTATTGATTGACTTTATTGATCTCAGAATGGAGAATTTAGTCATAACAGAATACTTGCAATCATGCTTCCATTTTCCTTTTTTTTTGTATATTGTTGAAATATGTTAAAAATTCTTCTTTAATATCAATCAGAAAGCTGGTCTTTCCATTTACAGTAAATGTAGCAATTTTCCACAGATAGGTTGAATAAAGACAACTTTTAGCCCATTTTAAATGATGTTGCATGAAACCAAAACTAGACACAGACTATGTATAATTCTGTATTGTGAGGAAGTGCAAACTAGGCGATACATGTACTTACCTAAACTAAGTATATCTGGATATTTAAAACACCAAATTAAACTGTTGTTAAAATATTTTATATGGTTTAAACTGTAGAGACAATTATTTGTATTTAAACCGTTGAATTTTAAACATAACCCGAAAGAGTGAAAAATATGCCTAAAAAAGGAGTGCAGCACAGACGTTAAACTTCACTGATGATGGTGTGAAGATTTCTGAGCACTTCTTACTTCTGCTTGCTTCCTCTCGGTAAACCACACCCGGCAGCTTTCCTATAAGTCTACAAACATTATGTTTTAAAGAAAACTACCCAGCAGTGCATCACTTTGAATTTCTGTCTTAAAGAAAAGCGGTGATAAAAAGGGTAGGGCGTGTTTATTAGGAAGTCAGGCTCTCTATTAGCAGGGCGCAGCTAGGCTACATGACCGAACCAAGCTAGCAAAACTTCCACAACAGCAGGAACCAGAGAACCCGGAGGGCCACCGGAGGGCCCACCGAGCAGAAACCGAGCTCAGGTGAATTTCTAATATGTTGACGGTTCCTATTTTGAGTCAGGACCGTACATGGAGCCCCTCTGTAAGAGATTCGCAAACGAGCGGAAGTTGAGCTAAAAATAATAAAGCAGCAGCAGTAGCGGCTGCTCTGCGGCCCGAGTTTATTCTCCAAAGTCCGTCACGCCGTTCGACGCTAAGGTTCACGCAAAAAGTTTCTAAGAAACACGATTATAAGCTGAAACTGTCCGTTTTCCTCTTAGACTATTAACCCGTCCTTTAACACAATATTACCTTCTCCTCGTCGGATAGCTGCTCCTCATGATCCGCCATCTTTTCTTCCGGCACCACCAGCTTGTCAGAGCCTCGTGACGTCAGCGCATGGGCGGCTTCCCGGCTGAAGGCTCGCGCTCATCATATATCTGGAATAATGAAGACATTAAATACAAAAATAAGACAATCTTTTATAGAAAATTGTTTGATAGGGGAATATTACTTGTAAGGCAATTACTAAATCCAAATGGTCATTTATTGTCTTATTCTGACTATGTCACTCTTCCAATTTCCTGTTACCCCTAAAGAATATGCTGTTATGTTTGACGCAATCCCTAGAGGGTCATTAAAGCTTTTGTCATCTTTACCCAGGGGTGGAGCTAGATGGGGGGCCAGGGGTGGCCATGGCCACCCTTAGCCAACCACCCCTGTGGCCACCCCTACCATTTATTTCCCTCTAATATAGATGGTGGCAACAGTAATACTCTTAATTGGAATATTCAAACATTTACATTTTTCATATATTAACAATTACTTGACAAACAAAATACTGTGGTTAATTATGCACATCAATATACTAACATTAAAGATAATAAGTACAGAATTAAAGCAGAAATTATTTTTGTGTTTTATGGGGTAAAGAGAAACTGATGTGTCTCTGCAAGTCATCTAGGAGTCTTTGGACTTCAACTTCTTTTGCCTGCGTCAAGAAAACATGACCCCAGTGCCTAAAGTGGCTTATTGGAACTTTATTGGATGTTTGGTTTGACAAACAATCGCCACTACAATCATCATCACAACATTTCTGGTTCAGCAGATAAAACAGGATTTCACAGACTGAAGCTCAGCCCTGAATAAAAGAACACTTAAGATCAACAACTAAAATATTTATAGTCCATTGTTTAGATTGAGATTATTTAAAAATTCTCATTCACTATTTTTTATAGTTCTTCTAATGTGCATTGTATCCTGATATCTAAATGGGATTTTATTTTACTTATTTAAATGGTTTCACAGAATAAACTTTTAAAACAAAATAACTTTGCTCAAATGTATTTATGCTGTAATCTGAAGGCTGTAAGTTTTAGCCAACCTGCCAGTTGTAGAGCTCTTAATATGATCCATCTTGTTCTAAATGGGACTTTGGTAAATGTCTAAGTTTCTAACAGCTGTTTTGATATTTATATTTTTATTTAAAATCTAAGTTGAAATAAATGTAAAGTTTGTGGTCTCATTCTCTGTTCATTTCATACCTTTTTAATTCTTTAAAAGCTTATATATTTTTACTATTTCCTCCATGCTGTAAAATCCGACGTAAAGTTATTTCTCTTCTCTCTTTTTTTTTTATTTTTTTATTTTTTTGCACAAAAACTTAGTAGAACCGATTCTTATGTACTGTAGTTTATATTGTAAAGAGCCTGCAGTCCACAGATCATGGCTCAGAGTTTGAGTTACATCATTCGCCGCTAGGTGGCGAAATAACACAGCTTATAGTAGATTTCACTGTTAAAAAAGAATTTTACTGAGGATGGTATTCATCGGTTATTGTGAACAACAACTTTGTTATTATAAGCATATAATAGCCAATAATTACACTATTGATCATGGTAGTGCCCCCAAACATTGCTATTATAAGCACATAATAGCCAATAATTACACTATAGATCATTGTAATGCCCCCAAACTTGTAGCACACATAGATAACCTCACCTAGTTCATACTAAAACTCTTACTTTCAGAATATGTGCTAAACTCTATTTTTTGAGATTGTTTCATTGTTATTATAAGCAGGCCAGATGTGCAATCTCTGCAACAGAAACCACAGCACTTTCGTTGTGTGCACTGCACAAAGTATAACTGTCACAAATGCAGGAAGGACTCACCTTGGGTTTGTAAAAACTGCTAAATGGGACAATCATAGCTTCATATATAGTGGTATTCCTTGGGTGAAATAAATGTTACGGCTATACTGAAATCATACTCTTTGTCATTCTCTAAGCTGAAATGTTGAATAATGTGAAAAGGCGAGAACAGACAAAATACACTTATTCTCTAAGTTGTTCTTTCTTTCACATAGTGAGCTTTGCAATATAAATGAGTCTGTTGGTGAACGGACAATATAAATAGGCTCTGCCTTGCCTTGTTGGAAAAGCATGGTTATGACCTGTTCTCAGCTCAGGAACTAGGACCCGTATGATATCTGGTTGTTCAATAGGTTTGCCTAAAGAAAAGATTTAGATATGACTTATCAAGTTATTCCTGCAAAAAGGTCTGATGTTGCAGGGGCAGGTAATGAAAAGTCCTTGGAACATGCTCTTGTTCTGATGCCAGTGTGTTTCAGTCTTTATCCAGTCTCATGTAATGATATCATGTAGTGATATGTGGTCAGATCACAGGTTATTTGCATTACAATAGGGACAGTTAGCAAGGTAGAGTGAACGCACAAACCTGAAGAGGGGAGGGGGGCTTGCAGGAAAACTGGAATTCTCCGGGACTTCTAGTGTTAATCTAGTGAAAAAATTAGGGGAGAGTGGAACACTTTTTTTCTCTACTCTGTTACATTGAGATAATTTGGCTTAAACCAACCAATTATTTATATATTAAATTTACATCTATATACCCTTTAAATAAGGTAACCTGTAAAAGATTTTTCACCATGTTCATTAAAAAAAGCCAACCATTGCAAGCGACCTCATCCCTAGGATGTCAGCAACATGTGATAAATCTGTTTATTTTCAAAGCAGCTTTTATATTTTGTCTGAATGAGTGTATTATTCAAAATATGTATATAATATTAAACCTGATTAACAACTGAGTTGGAATTTTACTCTCTCTGAAAAGAGAGATAAAATTATTATCCAATAATATAGACAACCCAAAATAACACAATTAAATTTGTTTTTTGTTTTTTTCTTCAAACATCACCAATTAACATAGCAAACAAAGCCTATTGAGATAATCATGACAAACTAAAAACCAGTTTGAAAAACAGATTTTTAAGAGCACAGACATTTTAACTATTTATAAAACTTTTCTTGAAAGAAATTGACATCATAATAATCTAGCAACCCCTCATTCCCACATCAGTCAGTTCCACAGTAATGAAATGTGTAAAAATCACCTCCATCCATGGAATCATTACGTGCCCTAGTACTTGCCAGAGGTGGGTAGAGTACCCAAAATTAGTACTTACGTAACAGTAGATCATGTTTTTACTGTAGTAAAGCCTTTAAATAAATAACTCAAGCAAAAGTATTTGGGAAAAGCTACTCAAGTAGTGAGTAACTATAACAACTGATTGCAGTATAACATATAACACAAAGTAATTACACAAAAAAATAGGTATAGAATGTAAAAGTTTTGAGTTATAAAACTTACAAAATCATTAGATGGAGTACATAGGAATATGTTTTATTAGAGTATGATGTTTACAGTATTTTTACTCCACCTTTAAATGATGCGGCAGACTCAGCAGATAAAAAAAAAATAACATTTGACCATTAAGCCTTTAGCACAAATAAATACTCTCTCTTAATGGTGCTTATCTGTTTAAAACAAGCTGGAAGCCAGGAATTTTACTCAAGAGTAGTTATACTTTCATATTTCTACTCAAGTAAAAGTACAATGCTTTAAAGCTACTCCTAAAAGTAATTTATTTTCAAAAGGTTACTCAATTAAATGCGACAGCGTAAATGCGACTTAAAACTAGCTACTACACACCTCTGGTACTTGCACATCTAGCACTGCAGCCGAACTTGACTGGATTTTGAGTAACTTTCCAGTTTGGGATCATTGCAACAAGTGTTGTAACCATTGCAAGACAATTCATCATAAACGTTTTCTAAGGAAAACCAATCGATTGCATCCTCCTTGATGAGCAATAGAAATGTTGTTGTCTCTAAATCCCGCCCCCCCCCCCCCCCCCCCCCCCGTTTTCTGTTTTTCAGATATAGTTCTGGGAATCAATATCACAGAACAGATTTGACAATTAAGCAGGCACAATCATGGGCACAAAGGAGTTTTCTTAAAAGGTTTATTAAGCAAATGATAAAAAGGCAACAGGATTGTGAGATCATCAGGAAAGGAGTCTCTGTTGTGGAGTAAAGTTGTTTGTATGAGGCAAACATTCCAGGTCTATGCTTGTGGGGGATCCCTTCATATTGCTGCTCATATTACTTCTACTAAACAGTGATGATATTAAATATTATCCCTGCTTGTTGAAAACAGCCTCCTTGAAGGTAACGAGTCAGCTCTGCCTTCCCGCCAAAATGAGCCATGCAGCATTACTTTATTTCCAAGATGATGACCTAAAGATAGATCAAACTGAGACATTGAATAATAAACCCTTTCATTTGCCCAGAGCTGCATCCACCTGCAGTGGAGTCTTTTATGGGATACCTGAGCTACTCATCCCATATGGCAGCGAACTGGAGCTTTGAGAATACAGTTTCTCTCCTCTGTGACTCGCTTTGCCACCAGTTAGTCACCCTGGATACTCATTACACTGCTCTCCATCAGACAATACTTCTCCAGAAGCCTGAAAAGACACAAAAGCAGCCGAGCATTAAAGGTGCAGAATGATGAAAGGTTTATAGATTAAGAATGGCCTAACTCTGTATCTTTTTTGCAATGGCACGATGAGTTATTTGTGTATCTCTCTCTGTTCTTCAGCCTTCTTGGCAATACATTAAAGCCCAAGCTGCAACATAGACTCACATCCAGATGATATCTTGTGTTGTATGAGAGCCTTGGAGTTGAAAACTGAAATTAATTTATGTAACAACACCTGCAAGAAAGACGTATACTTATATGGTTAAAGCTGTGATATGAACTGTTACTTTACAGGGAGAAGCTTCAGTAATTTCTTTTATGAGGTAGATCAACACAAGAGACTAAAGTAGATTAGAGCAGGTATTGTTTTACATTCTGTTTTATAAACGTAAATATACATCAAACTTTGCAGGTTATGAAAAGCTTCATGTTTGATGCTGATCCAAGACCTTCTGCAGCGGCTGGACTCATGACAAATACCTCAAAGTTCACATCACGTGTTTCATTTTTTTCTTCTGATGAAAGGTTTTCGCAAAGAAAAAAATTTCACTACTTCGAATAAGCCAAACATTCTGAAATATGATTAATCTTTTAAAAC